GAAATATCTGAAAAGTTTGAACGAGGAAATCTTTGGTGTACCTTAATCTTTGACTGTATGAAAGGCTTTGAAGAGGCAAAAAAGAAATTAGAAAACAAGAAAGAAGACTATGAAAAAGCTAAATTAATTCTTGAAGAAAAAATAGAAAAAGATAGTTTGACTAGAACTCCTAATAATCCTTTTGAAGTCGAAGAAACCTCTATACCGTACAAGCGCGAAATAATACTCAGGAGCGTTATTTTGAAATCCAAATCTCTTTAAAATAGCATATGTTGTTCCAAATTAACGCCCATGCGCGTTCCAAATTAACGCGCATCTGATAACCTATAATTGATTGGTGCAACAATCCATCTGCATTACTGACTCGAGCTACATTATTTTGTATCCCATTTAATTCAACTGTCATAGCACCGCCCCTCCAAAAAAAAAATCAGTTACGTATCTGAATTTAAAAATAACACATTATGGTACGACTTAAAAAAAACTTTTTATTTGTATAATAATTAGAAGCGACTAGATGTATTTTCATGAGATTGCAATGTTTACGAAATTTTTCATTCATTTCACAAGACAAATTTGATTAATAGTGTAAATAGATATAATTTATTACTAGAATTATAATATATTAAAGTAGGAAGATGAATATAAATTAGAAGATGAATTCTATGGAGTTATGCCCTATGTTGCTCCTGAAGTTTTATTAAAGAAGCAACCGTTTACACAAGCTGCAGATATTTATAGTTTTGGTGTTATTATGGCTGAATTGTCAACTGGAAGAAGACCTTTTGATGGTGAGGAATTTGGTACTAACCTTGCAATAAGAATTTGTAAAGGCGAGCGACCTGAGATTGCTCCCAGAACTCCTGATTGCTATGTTGAATTAGCTAAGCAATGCATGCATTCCGATCTGCAGAAACGACTCAACGCTGATAAAGTTAGTGACGAATTTATTGATTGGCATAAGAAGATGTCAAGTTCAGATGAAAATGAAATAAAAAAGCAATTCTTAGAAGCTGATAAAGTCATAAAAACATTGCCAATTATCTCACCAAGTTATCCGGATCATATGTATACCAGCAAAATTATTAATTTCAAATGCGATTAAAAAAGGTAATTAATTTTACCTATAGTTAATAATTTATGTTTAATATTTTTTATTTAGATTTGTCTCAAGCTGCTGTCGATTCTGCTTAAATTAATCTTGTTATTGAAAATTTTTGAATATATATTTTACTATATAAACAAGGAAGCCAAGACAAGACTCCATGTCGCCAAATAGTCTATCATCATCTCAGCGTTGGCCTCGCCACCAACACAAAATACTAGCTGGGCATTTTCTGGTGACGATCCATTGCTTGAGATGATTGCGGAGACCAAATGTCTTGTAGATGAGGTAAGTTTTATATATTTTATTGTAGCTTAATTTAACTTATCATTACTATATTTGATAATAATAAATCTTTAAAGGGTTTTCTATTGGATGATGATGACGATGACGATGATGAGTCTCAAAATATGCAAAGTGAAATGTCTGATTCAGAAAATGAAATGACTGAATCGTCATCTCAGAATAAAATGAATTTATCACAGCCACATAACATTAATTCTGAATCATCTCCTAAGGAAGTAAAGGTTTAATTTTTTTTCCATATTATTATTATTATTATTATTATTATTATTATTTTAACTTTCAATTTGATATTCTCTTTTTTTAAGTCTTTCAAAGAGCATTTTACCTGTATGCATAAGCATACATATGGAGAAAATGATACTAATCCAAATAAATTGATAATTGATAAAGTCTGTGTCAAAAATAAAGTATTTAAAGATATGATTGCCTTTAAAGCTCACATTAAACTTTAATTGTAAATTATAGCTTAAAGTGTTATTAGATCATTATCAACGAATGAATGATGAATGGAGGACTTTAAGCTATCGAAAAGCTATTTCTGCGATTAAGAGACAAAAAGGGCCGATTACTTCTTATCAAGAAGCTATAGAAATTCGTGGTATAGGACATCGTACTGCTGAAAAGGTTTTTTTTTTTAAAAAAAAAAACAACCATTTTTTTTAATGTTATAAATAATAATTGCTTATAAAAATAGCGTATTTTTTATGTTTACAGATTGCAGAAATTGTTAATACAGGAAATCTGAGAAGGGTACAAAATTTTTCAAAAGACGAAGAAATTATTAAAAAGTTTAGTGATATTTGGGGTATGTTATGTTTTTATTTATTGTCTTTATTATCTATTCTGATAACTATTAATTACATGATACATGATATTTATTTCATTATTAATTAAATAGGTGTAGGATCGGCTATTGCCATGAAATGGTTTGCTAAAGGTTATAGAACTTTTGATGATATTCTTCAAAATGTCAAACTTTCACGTGTACAACGCATTGGAATTGAATGTTTTGACGTAAGTTTATAAAAGATTTTTATTTTTATAAATATGTTTTTCAATTTCAATGATAAAAAACTGTATATAAACAATTCGGTTTAAAAGGATCTCCGTGAAAGAATTCCACGTGATGAAGTAACAGAAATTTCAAAACGCGTAGAGGAAGCGGCTTGTAAAATAGACCCCAGATTATTATGTATTACCGTCGGATCTTATATAAGGGGTCTACCGACTTCTGGGGACATTGACATTTTAATAACCAGAAATAATTCAGATGGAAAAACAAATTCGGGTAAAACTTAATTTATTTTATACAGTCGACTCTAGATTTAACGAACTTTTATAAATTTAATACACAATATAATGAATTTTTTTTTCTCAAAATATATTACAAGTTCATTATATAAAACATTATATTAAAGTTTTTACTTTAATAATCTTCAGTTCATTATAAAAAGAGTTGACTGTATTATATATTGCCAAAATAATAAGCTAATATTATTGCTATTGTAAGGTCACTTTTTAAAGTTGCTCAATCAGCTACGCGAACAAGAACTATTGACACATGACCTCACACAACTTAATGAAGAAAATAATACGTCAAGATACTTTGGAATTTGTAAGCTACCCGGTGGAAAATATCGTCGAATAGGTATATAAAAAAAAAAACAGCTTATGTTTATGTCTTAAATTAAGAATAAGATGCCAAACTCTGACTCTTCGAATTCTAGATTTTTTCGTCGTGCCATTTAATGAATTAGGTGCGGCATTATTATCTTATACAGGAAATGATGTTTTTAATCGAAGCATAAGATTATTCGCAAGGAAACAGGTATTAAAAACTGTTAATTTAAATTCTCTGAATATAATAATAATAATAATAATAATTTCTTTGATTTGCTCAGAAAATGAAATTGAATAGTCACGGTTTATATAAAAATATATCTAGAGGACGTGGTTGTGATACTTTGAATGAAGGAACATTAATCGCACAAAGAACCGAAAGAGAAATATTTGATGCTTTGGGGGTTCCATGGCGGTAGATATATATACTTTTATATTTTTACTTTACGATTATAATTCTTCGTTTTTTAATTTATATTTATTTTATAGCCCACCAAGTGAAAGAAATTGTTAAAGTATTTTATCGTTTATTACTAATTGGATTACATCTGTTTTTTTTTGTTATTTTTAGAATTAGATTGAATAAATAATGTATTAATGTTGACTTAATGCAATAAAATACAACAAAAAGAACTTTGTTATTTGCTTGTTTACCATTATTTAAAAAATTGGTTGATTGGTGTTAGCCAAAGCTTATCATTATGTTATATATATTTTGTTCGTATCATAACTTAATATTTATAAATAATCATATATTTCAGTATTCAACATTTTTTTATGCGATTTTGAATCATATATTTTTGTATTTAACTTTTTTTTTTTTACGCGATTTGATTCATATATTTCATATTTAACTTTTACGCGACGCGATTTGAGTCTTATATACGTGTATTAATCATCTTTACGCGATATGAATCACATGTTGATCATACTTATGAGAAAAAGTCATCTTTTACGTGATTTATGATTACAAATTATCCAATTAATTTTGCGTCATCATGTAATTATAATTTAATAAAAATCTCTTTTTTTATGATAAATAAGTTAAATGTGGATATCGGCGAATGTGAGTAAAGTGGCGAATTATGTGCATTAAAAAAAAACAGGATTTTTTATTAAGTAAATCAATCAACGACAATGTTTAACTATTAACGGTAATAATAAATTTACAAATTTAAAGTATCAATATAACTGATGGGATATATTACTGGATTTGAATAAAAAAACTGTAAGTTTTTTCTAAGTCATCATTATTGAAGATAAGAAAAAAGCAACATTATATAATTATTTTATTAAAGTGTAATTTATTTATCATAATTAAATATTTTATATTAAAAATTATCATAAACATGAAGTAATGAACCAAAAGATGATTATAATTACTGTATATGATAGTTATGCACTATGAGAGCAAGAGAGTCTCAAAAAATTTTATATAGTAAATACAAAGAGTTAGTTTGCAATCCACAAAACCAAATTAGTACGTTGTAAAGGGCTAATTTGACCCTCCGGATGTACTACCTTCCGACGTAGTACTATGCACGATTTCTTGGATTTTTATTATTCTTGCTTTCCTTATTATTCTTATTATCTTCAATTATAGTATAGATCTACAAAATCGTCGTTATTATTATCCCTTAGATAATAACGAAATGATAGTGTGGATCGGGAAATGTAGCCAGGCCGGACCCCGCCTGAGGTCATTGGAACAATCCGCAGCATATTTTTCGGTTAGGTAGATCCTTGACTTTTTAGGGATCCCGGCATTATAATCATTTAAATGATTTTTTTTTTTTTTTTTTGACAACGAGGTCTATCCTCTAACTCTTTATTAATATCAAAAAAGAATATATAACATTTCAAATACTATACAGTTAATTGAAAAAAGGGAGGTAGGGGTAAGAGCTAATTTACTCTCGACCTAAGCTGTGCTAGAAAGGTTGTAGGCCTCTAGTCTTCGTAAACTAAAGGAATGAACGAGCGTCCATCCTTTATATATTGAGTTATTTTTTTTAAAAT